TCTTAAACCTGTGAGCTCAGGCTATCTACCCACTTCAGCCTCCCAGAGTGCTGGGATTACAGGTGTGAGCCACTGCGCCCCACCTAAGTTTGTTCTTTATCAAGGTTGTTTTGGCTATTAAGGGCCCTTTGCAATTCCGTATGAATTTGAGGACCAGTGCTTCCACTTCTGCAAAAAACAAACAAACAAACAAAAAACATCAGCTGGGACTTTGATAGGGATGGCATAGAACAGGGGTCCTCAAACTTTTTAAACAGGAGTCTAACTCACTGTCCCTCAGACCGTTGGAGGGCCTGACTGTGGGCCCTGTGATGAGTCAGCTGCTAAGCAGGACAGGTAGTAGCAGCAAAAACACCTGGAGGGCCAGATAAATGTCCTAGATGGGCTGCATGTGGCCTGTGGGCCATAGTTTGAGGACACCTGGCATAGAATCTGAAGATAACTTGGGTAGTACTGCAATCTTAACAAGATGGAATCTTCCTACTCAGGAATACCCATATCTTTCCATTTAGTTAGGTCTTTACTTTTTTTCAGCAAATGTTTTGCTGTTTTTCGCATGCAAAGCTTTTGCCTCCTTGTTTAAATTTTTCCTGGATATTTTTAGTATTTTAGGTGCTATTGTATTTATTTTTGAGACGAGAGTCTCGCTGTGACACCCTGGGTAGAGCATCATGGCATCTTAGCTCACAGCAACCTCAAACTCTTGGTCTCAAGTGATCCTCTTGCCTCAGCCTCCCGAGCAGCTGAGTAGCCTCCTAGTAGCTTCTCAGTAGATTTCTTTGGGATTTTCTAGATATAAGGTCACATTATCTATGAATGGAGTTTTATTTTATTTCCAATTGAGATGCCTTTTATTTCTTTTTCTTATCTAATTGCTCTGGCTAGAACTTCCAGTATAAGTTTGAATAGCAGGAGAAGGGAGCAGGCATCGATGTCTTGTTCCTGATCCTTGGGAGGGAGCACACAGCATTTCATCACTCAGTATGATATCAGCTGTGGGATTTTTACAGATGCCCTTTATCAAGTTGATAACATTTCCTTCTTTTTCTAGTTTTCTGAAACTTTTTTCTTTTTGAGACAGAGTCTATGTCACCCTTAGTAGGGTGCCATGGCGTCACAACTCACAGCAACCTCAAACTCTTGGGCTTAAGCGATTCTCTTGACTCAGCCTACTGCCACAAAGCCCAGCTACTTTTTTTTTTTTTTTCCGAGACAGAGTCTCAAGCTGTCACCCTGGGTAGAGTGCTGTGGTGTCATAGCTCACAGCAACCTCAGACTCCTGGGCTTAAGCCATTCTCTTGCCTCTGCCTCCCAAGTAGCTGGGACTACAGGTGCCTGCCACAATACTTGGCTATTTTTAGAAACATGGTGTCACTCTGGTCTCAAACCTGTGAGCTCAGGGAATCTACCCGCCTCAGCCTCCCAAGTACTGGGATTACAGGCATGAGGCACACCTGGCTAATGTTATTGTAAAAACTGGAGGCTTCATTGAATTTCCTGCCCTTGCCATTTATAAAATGTAAAGGATCAGGCTCTTTTTCACACTGATCCCTGGGGGTTCTCTGTTTATACTTTCAATGTACACCAGCATACCCATTTATCCTTATCCTTTCTTATCTTAAAAATTCGATTTTTTTTTTTTGAGACAGAGCCTGAAGCTGTCCCCGTGGGTAGAGTGCTGTGCATCACAGCTCACAGCAACCTCCAACGCCTGGGCTCAAGCGAGTCTCCTGCCTCTGCCTCCCAAGTAGCTGGGACCACAGGTGCCTGCCACGACGCCTAGCTATTTTTTGGTTGCAGCCATCATTGTTGCTTGGCGGCCCGGGCTGGATTTGAACCCTCCACCTTAGGTATATGTGGCTGGCACCTTAGCCACTTGAGCCACAGGCGCTGAGCCAAAAAAATTCGATTCTTTAAGGCCCCTAACAATCAGCAAAGAGAACACTTCAGCCTTTTCAGTAATGGTGTTACTGATGATAATCATTTTGTGTTTTCTGGATGTTTTACCATGAAAACAGATAAAGAGGCTGGCTTCATGTCATCAGTTGTTCAAGTTTATTTATGCTGTTTTGATACACTGACAAATTACATGACATTTTGTTTGTAACGCTTTCTCCCTCAAGAGTAAGCCAGAAGAAACTCTTAAAGAACACACACATACGCAGACACACACACACACGTGTGCACACAGGAGGCAAATACAAAAACATGACCCCACCAAAGTGCATCCGAATAAAAGTGCAAAAGGCTTCATTTTCAAACTCTGAGATTATTCTCTCTGCTTCAGAAATTAAACAGAAAGGTCCTCCTGGCCCTAAGCCATGGCTGAGCAGGGGCTGGGCGAGGCTGCCAGGTGCCAAAATGTAAGTGGCACCCGCTGCTAGAGAGCAGGGCAGAGGGCAGAGGGTAGCAGAAAATGCTGCCAACCCCGCCCTCTCTGTGCTCCCAGGTCAAGGTGCAGTGATCTCATCGGGGACAGAGTCGGGGTGAAGGAGCAGTGGGGTGGACAAAAGGCAGATTTCTTCCCACTTTTGAATGATTTGGTTTCTTGACAGAGAGTTTGACATTAGTGCAGAAAGTGCGGGGGCCTCCAAGTCTGCAGGCCTGGGTCCCTTTTCTCCAAGGCCCTCAGTCCGTCCTGCCTTCCCACAGGCAGGCATCAGGTGGTTGGCAGATCTGCAAGCAAAGGCTGTCCCAGACCCTCCTTAGAAGCTGTGCGGCCGACAGCCCCAGCCACAGGGAACTTGCTTTCTCACACAACACGCACTGTGCCGCTCATTTTCTAGAGGGGCAGCCTGAAGACAAGTTGCTGGTGAGTTTTGCCACCACCCAGGCAACCAAGATGAAAGAAAGGCTTAAGACTGGCTCCTCTGTACTCTCAGCCACGGTGGCACCAATGCCACCGCTGTACACCCAGTGTTCACCCCGAGGAGCTCCCAGGAAGCCTGCGCACAAAGGCTGAACCTTTCAGGGCTGAAAGGGAAAGAACATCTGAAGCCCTGTGGGAGCTCAGCTGGGGGCTGAGTGGCTGTCCTCAAAACACTATCTGGGCCACAAGAGAGAGAGGTCCCTACTGGGATGTGGTAGGAAATCAAGAGAGCTTTGGTTTTCCCATTCATAAGGAAAAAGTATATCTTCATTTTTTAATAATAGCCCTTGACATTTTCCCAGCACTGAACTTCACATCTACACCCTGTCAAACACTTCTGAGAGTGACACGCGCGCACGCGCACACACACACACATACACACAGACAGATCTCACATGATTGAGAAAAGGGGTCTGGGAAAGGACCCCCTGGCCCCACAGTCTGCAGTCATGTCAGCACCTGGGGGCACAGGAGCTTGGCAGTGGCTCCTCACCTCCCTGTGGGGCTGGCTCCTGCTGGGGGCTCTGGCCCTTCCCCCCAGGTTGGGAGGCAGGTTTGGCAGTGGCTCAGTAGAGGCTAGGCCCCCACTAACACAGAGAGGTCAAAGTCCCAGAGCCCAAGTAGGGAGCCAGCTGGCAGTGCAAGACGGATGGAGAGTGGCAAGGAGGGCTTAAGGGACCGAGAGAATTCAAAGATAGAAGAGTTCACCTTCCTAACGCCCAACTTTCGGTGGTCTTTGTAAAACGCCTCAAGAGTAGAGGCAAACTGGCTTGGCACCCGTAGACCAGTGGTTAGCGTGCTGGCCACATACACCAGGGCTGGTGGGTTCGAACCCAGCCCAAGCCTATTAAACAACAATGACCAAAAAAAAAAAAAAATAGCTGGGTGTTGTGGCAAGCACCTGTACTCTCAGCCACTTGGGAGGCTGAGGCAAGAGAATTGCTTAAGCTCAAGGGTTTGAGGTTGCTGGGAGCTATGATGCCATGGCACTCTATTGAGAGTGACATAGTGAAACTCTGTCTCAAAGAAAAAAAAAAAAGAGTAGAGGCAAATATTTAAGAGCCAGATTGAATGTGATGTCATGGGGGTAGGGGTGCTGGACAGAGTGCCACATGCTCATGGCAGGAGGAGGAGGCCTGGGGACCTCACCCACAGGCAATACCTTTGTGGAGGTCTATGGCTGCAGAAAGGATGCTATGCCCAGCTTTGGGTGCCACCATGCCTGCTGGGGCTGCCTCTCTCGCCAAAGACCCGAGATTGTCTGACATACCCTTGGGCTGGTCTCCCAGCTGGGCTTCCTCCTCCCTAGACCCAACTCAGGAAGGGTGTATGGGGAACAGCGTGGAGCCTCAACTTCAGCCAGTTGCCAACAGGCTCTGCCTGCCTGCTCACTCTGCTGGGGCTAGGACTTGGGATGGCACACAAATGCCAAAACCAGTCCAAAATGGGGCATGCTTAAGAAGGCAGCTTGGCTCAGAAACCCCCACTTCTAGGAAAAAAGGAGAAAGGCAGCCAGCGATTCCCAATGGAACATATGAGAACATGTTTCTGAGGTTCATACATCTAAGGGGCAGGAACTAGTGGGGGCTGTGCCCAAAAAACCAGGCATCAGGAATGAGGGCAGCAAAACAAGCGGACAGAAAGGGAGGAGGGAGGGGCCTTCAGGAGCAAACGTGTTCATGGCAGGCTCACCTCTTCCAGGGGGAAAGGAACCAAGGAGAGAAAAGATGGAGAGATGCCGAAAAGGGGGAAGGGCCTCAGATCAGATAACTCCTGCTGTACCAGAGTGGTTTCTTCTTAACCATTAAGAAAAAGACCCTTTGGTGATAAAACAAGTCAGCTGGGGCTGTGGGGTGACCAAAGGGAGGGCACCTCCAACCTCCTCCCTCAGTAACACCTCTCGGCCCGGTCACACCTCACTGGTGCACCAGACAGCACATGAGCCCCAGGACTGGGGCTGGGATTCCACCTTCCCTGGGCTCCTCTGCTCCCATGCACCTTCCAGGAAGGGCCAACCCTGGTCAGATACAGAGGGTGGGGGCGTGGTGGGGACATGAGGAACTCAAGTTAGGAAGGAATCATCAAGTGGAGAGGGAGGCCCAGCAAGGAGGAGGGCCCAGCCCTGGGCCAGTCACTTTAAGGTGTCATCAGCATTTTTGAACATGAGAATGGCGTTATAGATCTTCAAGGCTGGGCCCAGCTTGACGCTCATGATCTTCACGATGTCCGCCTGTGTCAGCAAAAGGAAGGCCTCGCCGTCAATCATCTGAGGGTTTGGGGGAGGGAGGTGGAGGCAGGAGAAGGTGGGAGGGTCGTAGGGAAGGGGTGAAGGAAAGGTGGGAGTATGCATGTGGAATGAGGAAGGGAGAAAAATGGGAGTACAGGAGATGGTGGGAGGGAAGAAAGGGGAAGGAGGAAGGGCAAGGAGAAAGGAAGAGGAAGGGAGAAAGGAAAAAAGGAAGATAGCAATGGGGACAGAGAAGGAAAGAAAGACAGCCCCTGGTTTCCCCACGCTCTCAACATGTACTCTCTCTCTTTCTCTTTTTCTGCCGACTGGCTTGAGTTTCAGCATTTGTATTTGCAAAATGTCTCTTGAGTACCCCTGGACAGTGGCTTCAAGAAACCTGCAGCTTGGCTCAGCACCTGTGGCTCAAGCGCCTAAAGCTCCAGCCACATATACCTGATTTGGCGGGTTGGAATCCATCCCGGGCCCTCCAAACAACAACAGCTGCAACCAAAAAACAAACAAAAAAAATGGCCGGGCATTGTGGCGGGTGCTTGTGGTCCCAGCTACTTGGGAGTTGGAGGCAGGAGACTCACTTGAGCCCAGGAGTAGGAGGCTGCTGTGAGCTGTGATGCCACAGCACTCTACCCAGGATGACAGCTTGAGGCTCTGTCTCAAAAACAAAAAAGAAAGAAACCCACTGCTATTCCCATGTGACCTCATGGTCAATCTTAGTGTTGCCAACAGCAAGACACCCAGACACTGTGTGTTGCGTGATCCAGCAGGAAGGTAACAGACAGGAAAAAAAAAAAAAAGAGGGTACACAGAATCATCTATGAGCAACTCTTGCTGAAATCAGGAGAAGAGAGAGAGGGGAATCTGAATCTAACCAAGCCTTTGGATCTAACTTTCAGGTAATAGGAACCACAGGGGATAGAGGAGCAAGGTAAGTGACACCACAGAAAAGCAATGAGACAAATCCAGAAGGACACATTCTGCAAGATTTTTTAAAATATCATTAAAAAAAGAATAAAGAAAAAAAAAAAGGACAGGGGCTATTCTGGAATAGAAGATATTTTTGTTTGTTTGTTTGTTTGTTTGTTTTTTGAGACAGAATCTCAAGCTGTCACCCTGAGTAGAGTGACACGGAGTCATCATAGCTCATAGTAGCCTCCAACTCTTGGGTTCAAATGATCCCCTTGCTTCAATTTTTCTGTTTTTAGTAGAGACGGGGTCTTGCTCTTGGTCAGGCGGGTCTTAAACTTATGAGCTCAAGCAATCTACCCACCTGGGCCTCCCAGAGTGTAGGATTATAGGTGTGAGCCACTACTCCTGGCCTAGAATGGAAGATATTTAAGAGAACTGAAAACCAAAACCAATTATGTGGGCCTCGTTTAGATTCTGGCTTAAAAACTGTAAAAAACCATGTTGAGACACTGAGTAAATAGGAATATAGTCTGGGTCTGGATAACAGAAAGGAGTTACTGTCAACTTGTTGGGTGGATAACAATATTGTGGTTACACGAGACAGGCCTTAGGGTTTGCAGGGGTGAAATGTCATGATGTCTGTAATTTATTTAAAGTTACTTCATCCACTCCACTCACTAAAATCGATTCAAGACGGATACAAGATCTAAATCTAAGGCATGAAACAATAAAAATCCTCGAAGAAACTGCGAGGAAAATACTTGAAGATGCTGGACTGGGGAAAGACTTTACGAAGAAGACTTCAGTGGCAATTTTGACAACAAAAATAAACAAATGGGACTTGTTTAAATTGAATAGCTTCTGTACAGCTAAAGAGACAACAACCAAAGCAAACAGACAACCATCAGAATGGGAAAAGATATTTGGATATTATGAATCAGACAAAAGTTTGATAACTAGGATCTACAGAGAATTCAAATTAATCAACATAAAAAAGCCAACAATCCCTTATATCAATGGGCAAGCGAGATGAATAGAACCTTTTCTAAAGGAGATAGACGAATGGCTAACAAACATATGAAAAAATACTCATCATCCCTAATTAATAGAGAAATGCAAATCAAAACCACCCTGAGATATCATCTAACCTCAGTGAGACTGACTCTCATCACAAAGCCTCAAAACCGCAGATGCTGGCATGGGTGTGGAGAGAAGGAAACACTTTACACTAATACAACCGGTTTGGAAGAAAGTAAGGAGAATCCTCAAAGAACTCAAACTAGACCTCACATCTGATCCTACAGTCCCATTACTGGGCATCTACCCAGAGGAAAAAAAAATCATTTTATCATAAGGATATTTGCACTAGACTGTTTATCGCAGCTCAATTTACAGTCGCCAAAATGTGGAAATAACCTAAATGCCCACCAATCCAGGAATGGATTAAGAAGCTGTAGTATATGTATACCATGGAAAAAGATGGAGAGTTTACATCTTTTGTATTAACCTGGATGGAGTTGAAACACCTTCTTCTTAGTAAAGCATCACAAGAATGGAAACGGAAGAATCCGGTGTACTCAATTCTGATATGAGGGCAATTATTGACCTAGTACATGGTGGGGGATAAGGGAAGGGGGGAGGGAAAAGAGGGAAGGAGGGAGGGGGTCAGGGGTCACGGTGTGTGACACATCTCTTGGAGGAGGGACACAATTATAAGAGGGACTTTACCTAACAAATGCAATCAGTGTAACCTGGTTCTCTGTACCCTCAATGAGTCCTCAACAATAAAAATACAGTAAAATAAAATAAATAAAATAAAACTACTTCATCTAAAAACGGGCGAAGCAAGTATGGACACTGTTGGCAGCTGTCAATTCCAGCAGTTTGGTATATGGGCAGAGTCGAGGAGGCAAGAAAGCAGCTGAGGAGGAGGGAGTGGGATGATGGGTGCTGGGAGGGAGACTGGAGCAACAGACTGAGCTGGGGGCTCGTTCTTGAGCAGGCATCATTCCTCCTGCGCTCAATCCTCTGGAATCCTTGTGACTGAAACACTTCTGTGTGCTCTGTTATGTGCCAGGCACTGCTCTGAACCACTTGTTACATACTGATTCATTTATTCCTCAGGGCAACCCTAGGAAGCAACACTAATATTGCCCCCATTTTATAGATAAGACTGAAGCAGAAAGGCTAATGAATTTGCCCCAAACACACATTGTAAGCGCTGACCTGTGAGTGTGGGGAGGGGCACCTATGGACACACTTCTTGTGCCTCAGAGGGTGATGTTCTCCAAGCCTGGTCCTGTCCCCAGTTCCATGCAAGCCTTCCTTACACCCAGCACCACTGCCTGGATGACAGACCCTTCCTCAATCACTGGGTGTATTCATCCTTGGACCTCTGCTCCCTTTGCCCCGCCTTGCTGGCAGGCCTTCCCACAGTCAGCAATGCCTCTCCCACCATTCAGAATTGCCCACACCTCCTGCCTTGCCCAGAGCTCACACAGCCTGGCGAATGCCACTGCACTGTATATATTTCTTCATTTGTATTCCAGGAGCACACCAGGACATGTGGTGGGTGCTCAGTAAATCCTGAAAGAATGAATAAAAGGATCTCTGGCATGTGGGGACCGCAGGCCCGTATCTCAGAAAGGCCGGCATCTTTAGAGGCTAAAAGATGGGGGGGAGGGCAATGAACCTCACACATCTGTCTCCCAGCAGCTGAGAAAAGTTACCTGTTGCTTCCCTATCCTCTAACCATGGAAGCTTCTGACGGCTAAACACCTTCCCAAAAAATGAAGGAAAGAAAAGAAAGGCCTAATAGCCAGATGCTCCTGATGAGATTATTTTCATGATGCTTCCGTTCAGCCTAAAATGACCAGCTGAAGTGAAAAGGAACCTCCCAGGCCTAAAATCTGAGGTCTGATGAGTAAGTACAACCCCCCTGTTCCTACACAGTCCGCCACTCCTCGTTGCCCCAGTGCTTCCTCACTGGAAGACGTACCCAGTCCTGAGCTGTGAGGGGCACCTGTTATCACAGGAAACAAGTCCCCTGGACCTGTAGAGACCTCTCTGCTGATTCCAGTGGGTGTATATGTGCAGAAATACCCAGATCCAGACACCTGTGCAGCTCAGGCTCTGGGGGTCCCTCCTGAGGACCCCACTGAATCATAAGCCTAGTCCACTAAGATGTCAAGCTGTCACCTAAGTGACTTTGAGATTTTAAAGTTCAGAATGTGAAAGGAAGGAGCTCTAGGCAGAGGTAAGTATGGATTCTTCCATGAATTCATGTATTATCATTCAGAGGGGTAGGAAACCAGTAGCCTTTATTAAAAGGATTTGTCCCCTCAAGTTTAGATTTAGTCAAAAGTTTATAGGTGGTGCCTGTAACTCAGTGAGTAGGGCGCCAGCCACATATACTGAGGCTGGAAGGTTCGAACCTGGCCCAGGGCAGCTAAAACAACAATGACAATTGCAACAACAAAATAGCCAGTTGTTGTGGCAGGCGCCTGTAATCCCAGCTACTTGGGAGGCTGAGGCAAAAGAATTGCTTAAGCTCAAGAGTTTGAGGTTGCTGTGAGCTGTGATGCCACAGCACTCTACTCAGGGTGACAGCTTGAGACTCTGTCTCCAAAAAAAAAAAGTTTATAGTAGAGGATTCAGAAGGCCATATGTGGCCCTGAGGCCACAGGTCCCCCACCCCTGTGAGGTTCCAAGTTCTTCAAAGGAAGGACTTTGTGGTCTGGCAGGGAGAGGCTATATAAGGAGACAATGGGGTTATATAAGAAAATACTAGATGTTGTATGTGTGCTGGTGTGATGGGAGTTTTGAGCCATATAGTCAGAGGGAGAGTCATGTTCTGACCTTGAAGATAGAGGAAATCAATAGGAAAATGGATAACATGAACCAAATGCAAGAATCCACCGCAAGCAACAACCTCAGTAACACTATGGAGACCTGTTCAGGGAATTTCCCCAAACGGGGGTACTCTGGATAGATCCTTAGAGAATCATATGCAGAATGTTTAACACAGGCCAAGCTAAAATTATAACCAGTACTTTAAGAACTCAATTGAGGGGACTTTATGTTATCATGACAGGCAGGTGTAGGCCACCAGGAGCCCAAGAAAAAGGGACATTCAGGGAGTAAAAGAGGCCGGTGTTCATCTGGCCACACTGCCCACAGAGCCCACTGGTCCCCGTGTCCTCTTCCTACTCTGAGCTCCCATGACACCTGCACATGCTCCTTTCAGAGCCCTCACCACACTCCAGCAGAAGCAGCAATTTACAATTCTGTCCCCTACTAAGTAGGAAACCCTAAGAGCAGGGACTTCTCATCTACACCAGCTCGTACTGGGCCAGGCACAGAATAGACATCAGCAACCGTTTGCTGTAGACTAAGTGAATACACAAAGTACACAAAGACCACAGTAAAGATAAGTAAGAGAGGGCAGCACTTGTGGCTCAGTGAGTAGGGCACCGGTCCCATATACCAAGGGTGGCAGGTTCAAACCTGGCCCTGGTCAAACTGCAATAAAAAAATGGCCGACGTTGTGGCGGGCGCCTGTAGTCCCAGCTACTGGGGAGGCTGAGGCAACAGAATGGCCTAAGCCCAAGAGCTGGAGGTTGCTGTGAGCTGTGATGCTACAGCACTCTACCGAAGCTGATAAAGTGAAACTCTGTCTCTAAAAAAAAAGTAAGAGAGGAAGGACAGATTACCCTGAGGACAACTGGTATAGACGACCCATAAGAAGGGGAGAAGGCAGAGCCAAGCACAGGCTGGAGGATCAAGCTCTCAGGTGGTTCTGCAACTAGCTTGACAAGTATGTTCAGAAAGTGTTGATTTATGACCTGTAAACCCACAGGAAGATCTCCAATGGGATGCCACATGGTTCTGTTATCTCATTCAGTGTGTGGTGAAGACTTGGAGAAAGATACAGAAGGCTTAGTTATTAAACATGCAAATTGTATAAGGTTGGAAAGGCTTACTATCAGATTGACAAAAAGCAAGATTTAAAACAATAAAGTTATAAAGCGAATATGGTAATATTTAATAGGGTATACGCGAAGTTTTATATTAGGTTAATTTTTTAAAAGCCTAGTGGAACAAGGACACGTGGAAAAACTGGGTTTGATTGTAGTGGACATGAAAAGCATTGAGGGTTCTCACGAATCCAAAACTAGTGTGACACGGCTATAATAAAGCCAATGCAAACTTAACTTTGCTCACAAAAAACACCACATTCAGGGCCAGGATTCATGCCTGTAATTCCAGCACTCCGGGAGGCCAAGGCAGGTGGATTGCTTCAGCTCCTGAGTTCAAGACCAGCCTGAACAAAAGCGAGACCCTGTCTTTACTAAAAATAGAAAAACTGAGGCAAGAGGATCACTTGAGCCCGAGTTGGAGGTTGCTGTGAGCTATGACACCATGGCACTCTACCCAGGGTGACAGCTTGAGACTGCCTCGAAAAACAAAACAAAAAAGACAACAACAAAAAACTGCACAGCATTCAAATCTCAGGGAAGAGAAAACAAGCTGGATATTTGTTAACAGGAGAATTGTGGTATATTCATAAAATAGAGCACTACTCAGCAATAAAACAACTACGGGTACACTTAACTACAGGGGAAAACCTCAAAAACATTACAGTGGGTAAAAAGAGGCCTGAAAGGGGAGGCGCCTGTGGCTCAAAGGAGTAGGGTGCTGGCCCCATATGCTGGAGGTGGCAGGTTCAAACTGAGCCCTGGCCAAAAAAAAAAAACTGAAAAAAAAAGGGGCCCGAAAGAGTACATGCTATATAATCCCATTTGTGAGTTCAAGAATAGGCAAAGTTAATATATGATGTTAGAAATTAAAACAGTGGTTGTATTTTAAGGTAAGGACGGACTAAAAGGGGCTGAGGAAGAACTTTGTGGTATGATGCAAATATTTTAAATCTTAATTGAAGTGTTGGGGTCACCTTTAATAAACCTTGTGGAGTTGTACTTTGAAGAAGTGAGCATTTCATTCCACATACATTTGGTCTCAATTAACAAACACCCAGTGGCTGGGTGAGGTGGCTCACGCCTGTAATCCTAGCACTCTGGGAGGCCGAGGTGGGTGGACTGCATGAGCTCACAAGTTTGAGACCAGCCTGAGCCAGAGTGAAACCCGGTCTCTAAAAACAGCTGGGTGTTGTGGCAGGCACCTGTAGTCCTAGCTACTTGGGAGGCTGAGGCAAAAGAGTTGCTTAAGCCCAAGAGTTTGCGGTTGCTTTGAGCAGTAACACCACAGCACTCTACTGAGGGCAACATGGTGAGACTCTGTCTCAACAACAACAACAAATATATATATAAACAAAAAATATTCATACACCCTCTAGCTTTGTATAAGTATACGCTCTGGTATTCACACATCAACAAAGCCACCTGACACATTTCTTAGAACGCATCCCCATCACTAAGAGACACACCACAGTACTTAGACTAGACATGCTGGTATGAGATTCAGTCATCATTTCCAGTGCTCACAATGGCCCTGTAAAGTAGACCTCATTATTTTTACTTTATCTCCATTTTACAGACAAGAAGATACAGGTGCAGAGGCAGTAAATGGATAACGTGGGCAAAACTGGGAATCAACCCCAGACAGTCTCCAAAGTTGATGAAAGTTAGTGGGGTTGTTTTTTTTTTTTTTTTTGAGTTTTTGGCTGGGGTTGGGTTTGAACCTGCCACCTCTGGTATATGGGGCCGGCGCCCTACTCCTTGAGCCACAGGCACTGTCCTAGTATTTCTTTTTTTTATCTACAACACACTATTTTTTTCTTTTGTTCTTGGAGACAGAGACTCACTCTGTTACCCTGGCTAAAGTGCAATGGTGTCATCAGAGCTCACTGCAACCTCAAACTCCTGGGCTTATGTGATCCTGCTGCCTCAGCCTCCTAAATAGCTGGGACTATGGGCATGCACTGCCATGTCCAGCTGACTTTTCTTTCTTTCTTTCTTTTTTGAGACAGAGTCTTTCTATGTCACCTTCAGTAGAGTGCTATGGCGCCATAGCTCACAGCAACCTCAAATTCTTAGGCTTAAGCACTTCTCTTGCCTCAGCCCCCCAAGTAGCTGGGACTGTAGGCGCCCGCCAAAATGCTGGCAAGTTTTTGTTGCAGTTGTCATTGTTGTTTAGCTGGCCAGGGCTGGGTTTGAACCTGCCAGCCTCGGTGTATATGGCTAATGCCATAACCACTGTGCTATGGGTGCCAAGCCCCAGCTGATTTTTCATTTTTTGTGGAAATGGAGTCTCACTTTTACTCAGGCTGGTCTCAATCTTCTGAGTTCAAGTGATCTTCCTGCCTCAGCTTCCCAGAGTGCTACGACTATAGGTGTGAGCCACTGAGCCCGGCCCTACTTCTTTACTTAGTAAAGATTTTTGAGTGTATGTTAGGATCCCTGCAGTAAATAGCAATACCTGGGCCATTCAAACTATGCTCTAACAGTCATACTGGATTGGAGGAAAAAAAGTACGCTTTAATTTCTTGCCCATCACTGATGAAGCTAAGTTTGGCAAACAAAGGACTGGGCAGAGAGCAGAGGAGTAAATGGAATCCTGCCTCTAGAATGGTTTTTGCTTCCTGAAGATGATCTGAACGCACAGGGTCCCCAAGCTGGGCCATAGTCCATACCAGATTTTTCTCAGAGATGTGGGTCGCTCTGTCTAGTCCCACCTGGTGGGGCAAAAGGGGTCCCTCCCAAGCTGGGGCAGTGCTGGGGAGGGCACCTGCTTCCTGCTTTCTTAAGGACAAAGTGACCCTGGCTCGATGGCCCACTCTGCACTTGCACTTTACCTCATCTTTGAAGACGCGTGCTTGGTCCTCACAACCTGTCAGAGTCTGAACAAAGCCGAAGACCTTGGAAACCAAAGAAGACAAGTTGGCCAGGGGCTTGGGAGTGTGGAGAGGGGCTGGCTTACACAGCCTGGGTGCCTTCTGGCCTGTGCCAGTGTGGCCTTTCTCATCAGCCTCTGGGATCCTTAGGTCTCTGTTCTGGTAGATGTATAAGGTGGGGCCCTCACTCCTGAGGCCTGGGACTGAAGCCTGTCTCTCCTGCTGGACATTTGGCTGAACTAGCAGCATGGCCCTCTCCCCATCCACCATGGTGGGCCTATTGGATAGCGTATCAAGCAGCCTGTTGGGCAGCCAGAGGGACTGAGGACAGGAGGGCCATGTAGGAGCTAGTGCCAGGGCTAAGACTGGGCCCTATCTCCCCAGACCCTCTCCTGAGCCCTCCCGTCAGAGTGTGGTAAGAAGTGGAAGTGGGGAAGGACAGGACAAGCCCCTTGCTCCTCACCTCGTCAATGGTCCACTTGGTGACTGTTGAGGCTGAGATACCTGCCACTCCCGGCAGGAGCTTGCAGTGCTGCTCCCAGCACACTGAGAGTGAGCGGTCAGGGTGGGCCGACAAGGCTGACATGAAGAGGGACTGGTGCACAGCATCGGGGGTGAGTGCTGGAAAGCAGAGGCAGAGGCTGGTAGGCTGATGCTGAGAACTGATCAGGCGTCTGCAGCCTGCTCATACCCAGGTTACTTAGGAGACTGGCTGGCAGGGCAGACAGAATCAGGGGCCCTTCCGGCAGCCGGCAGAGTCAAGATGGTGAGCCACACTCCTGACCTTCCACTCAGCACTTGCTCCTTCTGGGCATGTGGGTCACTCACTTTAGAGACTCTCAGGTCAGCTATTTGGAATGACCCTCACCCCCTCTCGCTGAGCCTGCACCACTCTAGGCCTAAAAGGATACTTCGTCGGAGCTGCTGGAGCATCTCCAAAGACACCGCTCTCTAGATATCACGCATCAAAATGGTCCCCAGAAGCCAAATATGCTCAGCGCCTGTGTCAGAAACCCATCCTGACTGCCCTTCTCTTCCTAAGTCCTTTTGGGCCCCAGCCAATTTGCTCAGAGCCAGAGTGACTCTGCTTCAGAACCACCATCACTGTGGCCAGTCTAAGGCCACCCTCTAGCCACTGCCACTGCTGGAGGCTCCAGTTCCTCCTCCCTCCCCCAGCAGTCTGGTCTGTACCACCACCTTCTCTGGCATAGGAGGGTCACCCCTGACCCACCCTCCAACTCCGTGATGCCTGTGGCTTTGCTTCCTCATCTGCTTCTGGGATGCCTGACTCCTGACCTCCAGCCTCAAGTGGCTCTACAAAGCTGCAGGCACGGCTCGGCTGGGCCTCCTCCCTGGCACGTGCCCACCTGGACTTTATCCATGCCTGGCTGCCTTAAAACGACTACATCCAGGTCTGCGTGCCACCCCTACCAGCCTTGGCTGGCCTTTGGCGAAGGAGCCACTCTCCCATGGGCTTGCCCAGCCTCTGCCCACAGTCCAGGAGAGCTAGTTCTTCCTCATCCTCTCAGTGCTGGTTCCAGCTGCATGTAAAAGCAGCACCTCCAATGCCCTCTTCTCATTTTTTTTTCTTATACTGTACAATGGTAAGTGTTATGTGTCACAGTGCCCTCTTCTCAAAGACCCTCCCTGCTGGTCGGACTGTCCCAACCTTTCCCTCAGTGTCACAGCCTTTTGGTCTGGCTCTTCTGCCCTTTACTCACCGAAGAGCCTCTGGATTCCATCCCCAGCCCCACCGGCTGCTCCTCTCCTGTGGCTCTGCCTCCCTGCTGCCCTCACTACTCATCATGAGCCCTAGTATCTGCCCGTACCCCAGAGGGCCTCAGCTCCGCACCAGCAAGGGGCCACTTCCTCTGCACGGCACAGCCAGACCTTCTCATGGCCCATCTGGGGCACACCCAGGATCTCTTGTGGGAGCTACCACCACAAACATCTCACCTCCCTGGCCACAGGTGTGGCCCCCTGTCCACCTAGGTGCCCCCTCTCTGAAGTCCTATATCTGGTCCTCCTCATACCCTAGGCTGGGCTTTGAGGAACAATGCCAAGTTGGTAGGGAGCTTCCCTCCTTATCTTTGTTCCCCAGAGCACAGGCCAGGAGCTCTCACAGGCAGTCACAGTGTCTTAACTCACTACGGACCATCTGGCCGCAGCAGAAACAGCTGCTGTTTCCTTCCAGCACCGGACACTCCTGGGGCCCCTCCAGACAGCCATTTCTATGGAGCTGTTCACCAGCAAGTCCCAGAGCCTACACTGAGAAGGGCTACCCATGGTGCATGACAAGTTGTCTCCAGAGCAAAACCCAGAGTGACTAGTGTCTCTTCTGAGCTAGAGACCCACTGATTGGAAAGAGGAGCCCTGTACAGAGGTCAGAGAACTGGGCTCTGTCTCCTATCTGTCTCTGAAATTCTGGGTAAGTCTTTCCTTGCCCTCTCTGGACCACAGTCTCAGCCTCTGGAAAGCTATAACTTCCCAAGAATTGTCATAATTTTGGGATGAACACAGTAGGCAAGTGCCCCCTGGTGGTCAGAACTTGGTCTTGCAATGGAAGCTGACCAAGTGACCAAAGGCGGTTGGAAGTGCCCAGGGCAGTTTGATCCTCAGAAGTCCTCATTCTGAGGGCCTGGGGCCACCCAAGACCATCATCACTCAGGCCTGAGGCTGCAGAAATTGCTTCAGTTACCACCAAAAGGAGAAAGTATGGAACAGCAAGAGGGAGTCAGGGAAGATTCAGACTAATCCCACCACCAGCAGGGAGCGGTGCAGAGCAGTGCGTGTGCGTGTCGGTCATTGCACTAAAGCCTCTGCCACATCATGGGGTGGGTGCTATTATTATCAGCAGTTTACAGATGAGGAAGCTGAGGCTCAGAGAGGTGGTGTCACTTGCCTAGGGTCACATCTCACAGCCTATAAAAAAGGCAGTCTAACTTCAGGGCTGCGCTTCTAATCACTAGTTTATATGCTGCGCTGGTTATAGAGACTGCTCCTGAAAAAGCGGGAACACAGTCGGTGCTGTCCAAGGACACGGAACCAGGTGATTGCTAAAAGTCTCTTTCAGCCTTCAGATGATGTGTGCATTCAATTCAACTGAGGCAAGACTGCCAGCTTTCTTGCTGGGTATCAGGCCCTATACTGATGGTTGAAGATGTCAGACAAATTTGCCACCCACTGGAGGGCTCAGACATTCTGTTCCTACCCTTGAGCTGAACCATGTTCCTTCCCAAATTAATATGCTGAAGCCCTAAGCCCCAGTACCTGACCCAGAATGGGACTATATTTGGAGAAAGGACCTTTAAAGAGGTGATTAAGTTGAAATGAGGTCATTAGGATGCGCTCTAATCCAATCTGACTGGTGTCCTTACAAAAGGAGACTCCTGGACATACAATGAGCTAATACAGGGATGCCAGTGCACAGAAGAAAGACGTGTCTGAACACAGCAAGGCCGGCATCTGCAGGCCCAGGAGGCCTTCAATGGAGCCTCTTTGACCTTAGACTTCCAGTCACTGGAACTGTGAAAAACAACTTCCTGTTGTTTAAGCCACCCAGTCTGCAGCACTGTTATGGCAGCCCTGGCAAGCTAACATAGGAGGTTGGGAAGTGAACTGACAGGGGGTTGGGTGCTTTATGTCTATTTACCAGCAGCATGTGGTAGGAGTCAGAATCTGAATCCCACCTCTGCCCCTTAGCTGATGACCTTGGGCAAATGACTTCACCCTCTGAGCCTCACATTGCTCCTTTCTTAGAAGGAGAGAACAATATCCTCAAAATAGGACACCTGTGAGCACTGGAGACAGTACCTGTAAAGCACCATGGCCCATAGTAGGTGCTCAGTAAATGGTAGTAGCAAACACTATTATTTCAGGTACTGAAAGGCTGGTTTTACCCCCATTTTCAAGTGAAGAAACTGAGGCTCAGAGATGTTATGTGACTTGCTCCGTCACGCAGATAGAAAATGAGAGCACTGGGCTCCTTCCCAAGAAGCCTGGAATGAGGGAAGAGCACAGCCAGGGGCAGCAGCCTGCTGACAGTGGAGACCAAGAGGCCCAGAGAGGCTCTGTGCCTTTCCCACTGACTCTCACCTGGGGGAAACGAGACTGGAGCCCAGGGCCCCTAGGACCCCTTCCTGTGCTCCTGTCACTGCTCTATGCTTCCCAAGTACCTCTAACAGAGAGGCAGCCTTCCTTCTAGCTGGTCCCACTCTGGGCAAGCCTGGTGTCTCATCCCACCAAGGACATGAGAAGAGATGACCGGTACTTACTCTGGAAATCTTCCTGTGGAATCTTCCGATACTTGGGAGGGCGTCCGATTCTGGAAACAAAGGGACCAAGTCCATCACAAAGAGTCTGTTTGGCCTGGCCTAAGACGACACAGGCCCCACACCCAGGAAGCCCAGAGCCTGACTCCCTGGCCTCCATACCGGCCGTGATGGCGAGGCTTCTTCCTTGGGGACAGGCCTGAGAGGTTCCTCTTGCGGGCTGAGGCCTCTGTGTCGGACAGCTCTGCTTTCAGCCGGCTCTGGTTCCTCTCAGCCAGTGGGCAGCCCGAGAGGCAGTGGTGAGCTGTGAACTTGCCTGTGACATGGCCAGAGCCATCACAACCAGGAGTGGGACACTTCCTGGGGGAAAAGAAGGCTTAAGTTATGCCCACTGAGCCCTCCCTAAATCTGGTCCCATTTGGAAGGTGACTTGGTGAACCCTGATTTGGCTGTGCATGGTACAAAACAGACCTTCCCTGAATAACAACTAAGCAAAACTCCTCTGGGCAGGAGCCTTCGCTCACCGGTGGTGAAAGCTGTATTTGGAGGTCTTAGTGTGGGGCAGGCTCCTATAGCTGAGAGAGGGACAGCTACCAGGGGAGGCAGAGCTGGGCTCTCTGGGACCTGGAAGCAGAAGGAAAAGGGTCAGCACAAAGTCCTGGGAGTGGGGGCCGGAAGACAGGGAAGGAGCAGTGTCCATGGGAAAGATCTGTGCAAGGCCTACTTCCCCAGGAGAGCAGCCTGCATTAGGCCCTGCCACCACTCTCTGCTACAGGATGGCTGGGGAAGGAGGACTTGGCCCTCATGTACATTGGTGTAACCTGCAGGTCATGCCAGCCGTCCCTGAGAGAAGAATGCTCAGGGAAAAGATCAATGCACTGACGGTATGGGCACACTGTCCCTCAGAAGCCACATCAGGCAGATTCATGTTATCATCTGTTCTTTTCCCTGTTTTCACCTCCAAGACTTTGGTAACTTTTTCTTGGCTCTGTTCATGCTTGGAGGAAGAACATTTAAGCAGGATTGATACCCCACACCTCACGTGAAACAGACGTGGTGGCAGCAGGGAAATGAGGGGAATCCTGAATGTGAAAATGGGTCTGAGTGGTCCATTGACCTGAACTCTGAGCCCTCCCTGTGTAGAGGACTAGAGTTTTGCTTAATGAAGCCAGTATTTCCTTGGCAAACACAATGCATGCCTGGTGTAGCTCTGCTAGATGCTGAGAGAAACCCCTGGGTGTGTATCTACCCCTAATCACATGCAGCCAGGTGAGCTGGCCTCTTCACACCTCTCAATACCCCAAACCCCAAACTGGGGCAGCCAGAAGCACGGCTCAGTATAGCAGACAGTCCTGGGGTAGAGAGGATGGGGACTCCAGAGCTCAGGATGGGCACCGGAGTCTGTGTCATACTTGAACAGGAGTGTCAGAGCCTCCTGGGAAAGCTATAGGAGGGGAGAGTTGTCAGAGCTTGGGGGGATGGGAAAGGCTCAGAGTGCCCTAGGGGTACACACGGAGAGGAGGCTGCAGGGGATGTCCTGTCTTGGAGCACCAGCCCGCAGGGTGGATGTCTGGGTGGTCAGCGTCGATCCAGAAATCATAGCCATGACTCCAGCCATCAAAGTGAAGCTGGGGAGAAAGGCCCTCCGAGGTCAGGTGTTCCTCATAGAGCCCAGCTCAGCCAGGAGGTCCTCGGGGCTCCAGGAGGCTCTCCCCCTCCCCAGGGCCTGTCAGAAGTAAGACCTCAGATTGAAAGAACCAAGGAGTCAACCCCACAGTAATCCACCTTGGCCGCCTGGTTCCCATGAGCTTTGCTCCATAAGTTACTGGTATTTCCCAACAACCTTTGGGTGGGACAAGGATTCTTAGGCCCGTTTACTAGATGAGAAAGTTAGGGTTCAGAGAAGGGTCCAAGCCCACAAAAATAAGTCACAGGTGAGGCAAGAACGAGATCCAAGCTCTTTGGCCTCGCCTGTGTCATGACATGCCTTTCACCTTTAATCAGTCTACAGGATTCTTGCCCAACCAGCCTGTCCACTCCCCTAGCCCCAGGGTCCCAAAGCCACCTTTATCCGATGGTCCTCCACATCTTCCACGCTGGCCACACGAATCAGGGCTGGGTTCCTGCGGTCCACAGCCTCCAGTTTCATGTTGACCAGGAAATTGTGAGGGGGTCGCTGCAGAAGGACAGGTGCCTTCAGGCCAAGGTCCAGCCCAGCACAGCTGAGGCCTGAGAAGGAAGCCCCAGTGCTGTGCCCGGGGAACTGTGGCCTGCCATAGGCTCCCCCAGCTGGCCAAGTGCCCCACATCTTCCAGAGCTCAGCTCTAGGGGACAGACTGTTGACTCACCACCTTGAAGGCCCAGGTGGGCACAGCAGAGGCCCCAGTTTCTTCTAGATATTTCTCCCAACAGAAGTTATCAGGGTCTGGGTAGTCTGGAGGAGAGGATGAGAACAGTGTCCAGCCATCCAGGTGTACTGGGGGAGCTCCCTGTCCCTCACCAGCACCAGAAAGGAGTAGAATCTCCCCCCTACATCATTTCATCCAGTTCCTTGAACAGGGCTCCTGAGGCAGAGGGGTCCTGGGGAGAAACACGCAGAACATACCCCAACAGCTCACAGGCTGCCTAGGGGAACCTGTCTGTGGTCGCCCTTGGCCTGCTGCTCCCACTCCAGCCCCATCTGAACCTGAGCTGTATGTAGGCCAGAGCAATAGTCCCGGGAGGAGGGACACATTTTCTTTGCTTTGGACTCCTTGCTCCCACGCTGAAATGGTCACCTAAGTTTCTTTCCCTACAAGAATCAGGGTTGGACAAGACTCTCCTAAAATCAAAGCTGAGACGCCAGCTCCTATCTGTCCTCTCACCCCGACCCTAAGAACCAGCTAATGAGGCAGTGGTAAGGCATCAGGGGAGTAGGGGGGGACCAGGCCTGGGAGTCTTGCTCAGCCTGCAGGGTCACCTTGTGGAGGGGTGAGGGGTTTTCCATGCTTCTGGCACCAGCCTACCGGGTGGATGTAGGGGCTGCTGGGATCACACCTGAAACCCAAGAATACGTCACTGTCCCAAGAGAAACTCTGCAGCCCTGAGCCTGCTATCCTGTGACAGCATTACTCAAGGCCCAACCTCACCCTACTTCTTAGTGAGAGGAAGACAGATGGCTGATGACAAAGTTAGAACATTGCAACATTAACTAAAAACTCTAACACCACCATAATATCTAAGGGAAAATCATGAATCACAGGGGTCTGCTCATCTTAACCATGGTATTTTTAGATGAAACATTTAATACTGAGCCGTGTTTCTCCTGATACAGCTCAAATCTATTATCCCCCACCCCAAGCAAGATCTGCGCGTCGGGACTGGACCTAGTGGACCACAGGGTGCCTGAGGTGTGAAAGTAGCTGCCCTTGCCCCCTGCCCACAGGGCCCTCTCACTACCAGTAGTCGTAAGTGTCATCCCAGTTGTCAAAGTGCACCAGGAAGCGGCCGTCTACCAGGTCAGTCACACTGGCCACACAGACGAGCGATGGGTTCATGCGGTCGACAGCCTCCAGCTTCATGCCCACCTGGAAGCCCAGGGGTGGCGGGCTCTACAGGCAAGAAAAAGGGCTGCCACAGCCAGGGCCAGGTTGGCTAGTGCTAGCCCAGAGCCCACTGGTAAACAAAGGAGTAGGTTCCAGAGGAGGATGGCCTTGGGCTGGGAAAGGAGGAAGGACAGAGAACCAGGCTGGAAAAGAGGGTCCCTCCAGTAAAGAATTGTCACCTAAGTCGGAGCTACTCAGGGACTTCTGGCCTCCAAGATGCACTCAGAAGAGGACTCACTTGTGGCAGAAGGTGAGTGCCTGGCAGGGGGTTATGCATTCACCCTGAGAACCTGGCAGGCTGAGTACAAGTCTCCTTTACCTGGACAAGCTTGGCCTGAGGTAGCTGTGGCAATAGTTGGGGGGTGGGGAAGAGCTGACACCTATGGCCCAGAGTGGGGAGAGAGTCATTATAACTTGGACACCTGCCATGTAGCAGGCAGAGTTCTCGCGACCTTGACCACAACCCTACCACATAGGTATTGTCATTCCCATTCTAGAGATCAAATAACTTGACCTGGAACACAAGGCTAGTCTAACAGTTTGACTTAGAAATCTGCATTCCCTGTCACAACAGCAGGTGGGACCCCGCTGGTTATCTGGGAACCTCCAAGTATAGAATCTGAGGCTGGACTGGGTTGGGGGGATAACTGTCCCTGCCTGAACAGCATGGTGGAGCCTCAGCCCACAGAGACCATGGACTTTCAATATGGGAATATTTTTAAGGGGTTCCCTGTATCTCTGACATTTTTGGGGGATCACATGAGATACTTTAACTGCTGGATAAGCTGGCAGCTGCCTTGAATAGAGAAAAAGACAACGGGTGAGTTTTGGGAAATAAATGGGAGAGTCTCAATGTGGGTCAAAAGGAAGAAGAAAGAAGCTCCCAGAACAAGGGCTTTGAAACTGCAGAGTGAACCAACGCAAGAGTATTTGAGCAATGATATCTCAGTGCCAGGCTGAGGCAGTGAGCCAGGGACTCCGCGGGGTGTGTGGAGGAGAGGATTTCCACAGAAGGGAAGGAGGGAGGGAAGTGGCAGACACCTATGACCAGTTTCCCCCTCTGGCCTTGGGCCCTCCCACCTGATGTGAAAGACCCGAACAAAGCTGAGAGGACAGGGAGACAAGCTCTCTTCCAATCAGTCAGATACCCTGGGCCAGCTGCAGCAGCTCAAGCCCGGGGGCTGACGTCCACTCTCACTCGGGGGCACTCACGTGGCTCTGGCTCACAAACAGGTGCTTGGGGGCAGCCTGAGCTCTTGTGCTGCGCAGGTACTGGCTCCAGCTGAACTCCTCCTCCTTGTAACCTAGGCCCCTCGAAGGGGACGAACAGAGCACCGTGCAGAGGCTGCACCATGGTGAGGGAACCCCACACTGAAGCAGCAGAATCAGGCAGGTCTGAAGACCCCACAACCCTCAAGAACTTTCCCAGGGGCCTGCTGCCAAAGCAGGACCTGACCTCGGTGGACACTCAAAGGGCAAAGGCAAAGCAGAAGCACTGGGGAGGGCTTCTGGCCAACTCGGCCCTGGGGCAGAGTCATACAGAGACACAGTAAAGAGAGGCTGGCTTTGGAACAGGGTACAGGGTGAAAAAAACTGGAGAGCTGGAAGGTACCCATGGGGAAGAGGGATGAGTCTGAGGACTCACTGCTCCACATGAACAACCCAGCTAGGTCTTACCTTTGGGAGGCTGTAGCTTGTGCCCAGTCTTCTCAAACCAGCCAGCAGGGTGAATGTCAGGGGAGTTGGCATTGACCCAGAAGTCATGGCACTCGGAATACCCATCAAAGTGCAGACGTAGACGGTAGCCACAGACCTGGCCCCATGAGGACAATCACAAGGACTCCAATGCCAGCAGCTGCCCCACCTCTCCTGGCCCAGCCTGCTGGTCTCAGGGGTTCTAATGCCAGTAAGCTCCCCAACCACACCTTTCTTTGCCCCCAGGTTTCCCCATCCTGAACCTGCCCCATGCTCTCCACTCTGCAGTGAGGACAGCTTATGTACTCATGAGCCCTGAGTGTTGGGTATAAGACAGGAGGACTCTAGGACATCTTCCTGCCCTGTAAGCCCTGGACAGAACTCTGAGAGCACTCACCACAGCTCACCACACAGGGCCCTAGTGACCTTTCCTTCCCCCAGTCCCCTTCACTCACACACTCTGCTTTGGTCTTGCTGAGCTAACAAGTCCTTGAATGTGGCAGTCTGTTCTGTGCCCCAGAGCCCCTGCTCACTTTGCTGCTTCTACTTGGAACTCCCTTTTCATCATAACTCATATCTCAGGATTCTGCAAAGGTGACCCTTCCTCTAAGCTCCCTCTGCCTCCCTAGGCAGAACTGACCACTCCTTCCCTGTGTCTCCCTGCTCATGTCTGCTGCCCCACCTGGCAAGTCACTGATGTTTGTCTGTGAGCTCCTAGAGGACAAAGACCTTGTTTGACTCATGCCAGCATCCCTGGCCCTTGGGATTTCCTCGAGGTCCCCCAGCACGGTCAGTAACAGCACCATTACACACATTTCCTCTGTTTTTTTTTTTTGTTGTTCTTTTTGTTGTTGTTGTTGTTAAGCTTTCTGTGTTTGCTAACTTAACCCTCTGCTAGATTGTTCCGAGAGCAGGGCAGGGCCTCTCTTCCCATCCCCACTGGGCTCCATCCCTCTACCCTGAGAGCCATCATCAGCAATGTGGTACCAATGCCCCAGCTCACCTCAGCCACAGTGAGGATGAAGTACATGGATGGGTGCTGCGGGTCAATGCCTTCCAACTTCATGCCCAGTTTGAAGCCATTCTTGTTATGGGTGACTGCCTGGGACTGTCAACGCACAGAGTGGAGAGGACCCAGCTTCTATCCAGCCTTAGCCTTGCCTAGTGGGCTTGGGGTGAAGGAGCTGCCTTTAGGCCCCACCCGCTTGGTATTATCAAAGGGCAACTTATTTGGGGATCTTTACTCCAGGGAGCCAGGGAGGGACAGAATAGCTCCAGGGCCCCTGAAAAATGTGGGCTGAGTCAGGGCTGGACTTGAGGGCTCCCTCTCACCCAAGTCATGGAATGATTAGTACTGAATTGAGTTGGAAGTGCCACAAGTCAATAGTCTGCAGGCCCAGTGATGGGTGAGCCTGGGCTCCTTCTCCCTATTTCTTCCCACCTTGGCAGCCTCTTACAGAGGGCCCATGTCCACTCTGGGCCTTATCCAGTCTCTCCCTCTTCCATTTTGCCAGTCCATTGAGGGATATGAGATGCAGAAAACCCCAGAAGGCCTAGGTTAGGCAGTAAGTCCCTGGCCTGGGAAGATAAGCTCTTCCTAGGCAGAAATTGTCCAACTCACGTCCTGGAAGAGGCTGACTGGGGCAGTGATGGCCTTCTGCTCCTCTAAGTAGGACTCCCACGACCAGCCTTCCTTCTTCTCCCCTGTTGCCATGGAGAAGAGACAGACAAGCTGACTTGTAGGCTGCAGAGGTACAACTTTCCTCAATTTCCCCTGATCAGTTTTTTTTTTAATACACAGGGTATCACTCTGTTGTCCAGGCTAGAGTGCAGTGGCACAATTATAACTCATTGCAGCCTCGAAGTCCTAAGCTCAGGTGATCCTCCTGCCTCAGCCTCCCGAGTAGCTGGGACTACAGGTATGTGTCACTGTGCCTAGCTAATTTATTTTCTGTAGAGATGAGGTCTCACTATGTTGCTCAGGCTGGTCTTGAATTTCTGGTCTCAGTGATCCCCTGACCTCAGCCCTCTATCTTAACTTCCAAAACAAAATTTTGTCTGTAGTAACATGTACCCTCTGGTCCTGCCTTTAGGACCAGATAGAGAGCTCAGAACTGAAGTGAGGCTCAGTCTCAGGTGAGGCTACACCAAATTCAGTCCATCCCTCTTCCAACCCTGGCCACTGTCAGCAGTACTTTGGATTACACAGCAAGTAACTGAGGCTACAAAGTCTCAACCACACAGAGACCCTGTCCTTTGACATGGAACACAGAACAAAGCTGAGTGACAAGTCTGCACTGAGGACTTGATCACAGTGACCTCTAAGATCACAGAGAACGAAGAAGAACAGAGAAATGAGAAGGAAAACATGGAAAGAGGAAGAAACGGAGGAGAGAGGACAAAGAGAAATAAGGATCTTTTTTTCAATTCTTCTTCTGGACACTTATGGCATAGACAGAGACACACCCAAATGTATATTTGTGTGTGTTTGGTTGACCCCTAGAGGGGACAGACTGATTGTGTAGCCCTTCTAGACACACACACACACACTCAGGTACACAAATTATGGCCAGGCTCTTCACCCCAGGTCCTACCCATACCCCAGAGGCTCGGGATCCTGGGAGGAGAGATGAATTCCCCCACAGAACCTTCAGTTAGCCTGGGATGGAGTCCTAGCTTCCAAAACAGAAAACAAACACCCTTTAAAGGCTGGAATACGTAAGATATTCCTTGGGTGAATAGCTCCGACTTCTACTGGAAACTTCTAGGCCTCCGTTTTGTCACCTGAAAAATGCAGATAATTGCCTCTACCACAAATTGTCATTATGATGAGCAAGAGAGATGCTATGCATAAAAGACTCTGATGAAATAACATTTGCATTACGGGTTCTTCCTGGGTCTTCGCTAAGTCTGCCTGACCTGGATTCTAGGTTTGCCTCGCTCTGGTCCACTTGACTACTGCCCTGGATCACTCAGGCTTAGAGTGGTTTGTCTCTCAGGAAGACATTTGCTCCCTTAGGTGGAATCTAAGTGGCTAGGAACACCTGTCTTACAGCTACCTAAATTCCTTGTCACTGTACCAAACCGTGAAGATCCCCATTACTTGATCCAGTTGGGCCAAAGCAAGTATTTTGTTCATCAACTTATCAACCAGACAATCAAACCTTCTCAGAGACATGCCAATCTAGAGCACATCTCTCTGGCTATCCTTTGTCCTGAGTGAAACCTGGATTGTCCCTTAGAACATACTATATTCTCCCAGGAGACCCTCTAGTTCTCCCACTCACTCTTCATCCAACCCTACTGAGTAGGGCAAAGAGAAGAGAGAGTGGACTTCACGGTGCCAGGCTTAGCACCGCCTTACTGTTTCCTGTCACTGGTATTCCTTACCACCTGCACAACCTCTTCATTTTCTCCAAATCACCGCTATGACCAAGTCCTTCCTGATACCATTTCTTCTTCCCTGGATGACATTATTCTTTTTTCCCTCACTCTTCCCAAACCACCACACAAGCTGAGGGGCTGATTCCTTGCCAGAGTTCTCACTGCAGGCACCTCTGCTGCTCCTTGATGCCCTGATTCTGCACTTTCCAGCCATATTTCAACGCATCTAGACCAGGTCTAGATGCCCATGCTGCAGCAGACCCCTCCCACTGGCACGCCCTCTTTATTTGCATTTTTTTTTACTCTGCCATCCCCTAATTTCTTCCCTGGCCCTGTACCGTCTGGATATTTTACTTTGCCACTCCTTCTACCACTTTGTGGTGGCACCTGTGTGCCACTTCTGACGCTACCTCAGAGACTTCATATACATGGCCTCCTTTAGTCTTTTTGTTTTCTGAGACAGAGTCTAACTTTATCACCCTTGGTAGAGCACTGTGGTGTCATAGCTCACAGCAACCTCAACCTCTTGGCTTAAGTGATCCTCTTGCCTTAGCCTCCCAAGTACCTGGGACTACAGATGTCCCAAGCAATGCCCAGATATTTTTATTTTTATTTATTTTTTTGAGACAGAGCCTCAAGCTGTTGCCCTGGGTAGAGTACCGTGGCATCATAGCTCATAGCAACCTCCAACTCCTGGGCTCAAGTGAGTCTCCTGCCTCCGCCTCCCAAGTAGCTGGGACCACAGGCGCCCG